TAAAAATAATAGTACATTTTAAAGATATTAAAAATAATAGTACATTTCGAGGTTTAAGTTCATATATATCTTTAATCATCATTGCAATAACCCATTTATACTTCTCACTGCCGGGCACTGGTCTCCAGGATTTAGGCCGCCACACACACCCATCTGGATTGGGGACCTTCATTATTGGGGTCATATGTTAAGGTATCTAAAATAGGTTTTTTTTTAGTTATTTAGGAAAATTAACAAAAATTTCGTCGGTAACATTTTCAAGCGTGTGCATTTTACATTAAAAGCATAAATAAGAATAAAAGTAAATTTTGAGATATATTTTTTGGTTCGCTTACAGTTTATACTCATAATTGTTTTTATTTTTTTTTACATGGTTTCTGTCACTCATCATCGATGTCATTCAAAATTATTGGGGTGAATAGACATAGTGTAGTAGAAATGAAATTATAATATACGATTTTAAGTTATCTGCATAAACCTATAAGTTATACAGAACGTTTTGAATATTTTTAATAGTTAACTAAAATGTAAAACAAAGTGTTAAGTGATACTGTTTACAGAAAGAAAAGAAATTTAACATAAAAATATTATTTTCTTGAAATTGAATATTGGAGAGTTATGTTTCCTGGAGTTATTTTAAAATACTCATTACAGAATGAGTATTTGAAAAAGAATACAATTCGAACTATTGTTACCAAAGGTAGCAAGAAGTGTCCATGTTTGGGCCCTCCTCCGTGTCCTCCTAAGCGCCCCAAAAGTCCTTCTTTAAAAAAATGTCCTCCGCCTTCTCCACCTCCGTGTCCTCCTCCTCCTCCATCTCCGTGTCCTTCTCCACCTAAGTCACCATGTCCTCCTCCTAAGGAACCTCCGTGCCCACCTCCGCCCCCTAAGTGTCCTCCTCCATGCCCACCTCCCCCTAAGTGTCCTCCTCCGTGCCCACCTCCGCCCCCTAAATGTCCTCCACCGTGTCCACCACCATGTCCGCCACCATGTCCACCAGTTAAGAAATGTTGAACTCCTTCCCGCACTTGCCAGGCGTTGTCTGGATTCTAGAGTAAGTATATAATCATTAGGAACCACTTTTCTGCACCAAGAACCACTAGAATATTTCTCTTTAAAATATTAAGTATATATTATTATAATTACATAAGTATATCTCGTGTATCTTTTTATGTGTAATCTTGGCTCTAAAGGTTAACATATAATTCGTAAAATGAACAGCTCAAAATAAAATACATTTATTGCGAAAGGAGACCTAATGATATGCACTGTCGGCGGTGGAAGAGAAGGTCTCCGGTTCGATTCCCGGTAAGGCCAATTAGGAAATTAACTTTTATAAATAAGATCTGCTCTAGGTGCTCTGGGTGCCTTGGAGTGAATTCCGTTGCACTGGTACACATAACACAGGGAAATTGATAGATTAAGACCAAGTAATTGGAGTATATGTCTGGCACATTATTATTATTACTTTTATCTGCGACCTTTATGATCGCGTGGTGTATACGCCTTACGTCACGCTACATTCAGGTGCTGAGTTCGAAAACTACCTTATTTTATATTGTCTCGGGTCTGGGTGTTGGTCGTACCATAGTTGCTTCCGATTATCATAACACGAGTGCTTGTGTTACTTACTTTGGTATCAGAGCAGCTTATGTGATGATATCTTATATTTATTTATATTTAAAGAGAAGAATTCGGATACCGCGTTTTTTTATTTGGAGGTTACTCTTATTGAACTAAATAATAAGTGATAGTAAAATATAATAACAACTTATTTTCGAACAATATAAATAATTATATACTTAGTAACAGACTTATAAAACTGTGTTAGGACATTTTTAAACTTACATTTAGTCACCGACTTCAATCTATAGACAAGAACATTTATATCTTCAGAAATATGTAATATAAAATAGACCGACAGCTGTAAACGTTTCTTCCAAAAGCCCAAAATTTTTACTTTACCGTGTATATACATCCTGGAAATACATAAGGTCCTCTGAAAAAATTTCAATTTATTTACAAAGGGCGAAAACATTCCTACTAATCGTTGGTTTGGCAACATTTCATTAAACAAACAAATGAAAACGAAGATGTAGTAAGCGACAGTGGGCTGCAGAGAGCTGCGGTAGGCGCATTTTATAAAATGCAATATACTATGGAACATATTCTCCACTAAATAAAGTATACATTTCTTCAAGCAACAAAAAATAAGTCGCCTACGGTAGGTAACGGTTGGCGACCATAGGCGACTTGTTCCGTCTCCAGCAATGCAAAGTGTAATTTAGCTTCTCAACAATACGGTATATCATAGTATTTCTTTGGAAGGCAGAAGTAGATGCAATGTAGTATAGAATTTCATATTTACTAAACAAAGGTATCGATGAAACAAAGTCGATATTTCTTTGAAAGCAAAGCAGCGCTGCGTTTCGCTGCGCCGCTAACTGTCGCTTACCGTCGCCGACGCAGCGCGGCTTTTCTCTTTTGGTAGAAGCAATATATACTTTATTCTATAGATAATACGTTCCATATTATAATGCATATTATAAAGTACGCCTGGCGCAGCTCGACATCTCCCGCGCCGCTTGCTGCCGCCTCTATATCGTGGTCGTGTTTAAGCAATTTATAAATTATACATGCATATAATATTGCATGAGTTACAAAGTCCCGGGTTTCATTACCGATAGAACCAATTTTGAAAATGAACTTTTTCTAAAGTGTTTTTGGCCGCCTAGGAATTTCGGGTAGTGCCGCGGAGCGAACTTCGTAATCTTAGTGTGAGGCCTGACGACCGTTATTTTGTGAGTTGCGCGGTTTGCTCTGCATTCGGTTTTTATATAAAATACGGTTTGTACGACGACGCAAAATGAGTTATCTGCCGACTCACGGGCGTAATGACGACTAACTTTCGGTCGCATCGTGTGTAAGGTTGGCACGAGTGGTGGTAGGGGTGAGGGAAGGGGTCACTTTGATATAGGATGCGCGTGAATATAAACGTTTTTTGCGAAAATGTTCGACACGGAAAAAATTATCACTGAGGTTGAACAACGTCCGTGTTTATGGAATTTATCACAAAATATTCTCATATTTGTATCTGACTTAGCAATAAAAGGTTTTACTAGGCTTAATAATTCTTGAAAAACATTTATTGGCTTGTGGTAGTACTTAACAAATTGATGTTCTCTCTGTGGATGTTCACATACACTTGCATATAATAAATATATGGAACTGCCCACATTTTAATCGTTTCATATTGAGTGGACGTACCCAGCTTCTTTTTCTTTTTCGAACATCGACTTCTAATGCTTTATAAATGCGTACTGTTTTTAATGGATCAATTACACTATTACGACACAAACATCTCGTATAAACGCTTAAAAGCAACTGAATAAAATACGTTCGTCTGGCGCTCCCACCGAATTTCGGTCGAGCGCAAAAAAAAACGCTACTCAACAACTCACAAAATTACGCTCGTCTGGCCTCACACTTATGTTCCGGGTTCGACTCCCGGTAGAACTAATTTGAAAATGAACTTTTCTAAAGAGGTTTTGGCCTAGGTGTTCTAGGTAGTGCCGCGAAGTGGATGCCGTAGCTCTTGGTGCTAGGTTCGATTCCCAATAGAACTAATTTGGGAAATTAACTTTTCTAAAGTGGTTTTCGCCTAGGTGGTCTGGGCGAACTTGATGAACTACATAAAAATAAAAAAGTGGATGAAGTTTTTCCTGATCTGTTGTAAGACAACCACCAGTGCCCGTAGCATGACGCCGCAATAAACCTATTATAGCCACATTTAGCTGTCAAATTAAATTGATAAAAGCTGCTATTTTTATTTTTCCCTATACGAATATGGCGAGCACCGTGACGTCACGTTTTTGACGCACAGCGCGCGTTTCGATCAATATGGCCGCGAAAAATATCGCAGTGTCAAACATGATCACAGCTGATTTTAAAACATTTTGTCAGTACTGCAAGGCAATTTTATTAACGTAAAAATTGAGCGCGATAAACGAAATAAACAGAAACAATAAAAAGAAACAACATGCGTAGTATGGCAGCATATCGCATGCAATATGTGATAAACATCCCCGTGACGTATTTGTTGCACTCGATAAAGCTGTGTTGTCTTTATCAAAATTTTATTTTTTGTTTATTTGATAATGAACGATTTTTTATTTCATCGTTTTACAACGATGCAATTAAAAGGATTACAATTTTCGCGGCGATGATTAAATGATAAAGATACGCTGTATATGAAATTTCACATATCGCTATCCTTGTTCCAAAATGTATAACAAGCGTTCATTATCAAATAAACAAAGGAACGAATGGCCCTAGTGCGGTATTTTACCAATTCAGTACTCACAATAAAAAAATAAAATTGTAATAATGACAACATAGTTATTGGAACTTTTGGATTTGGGTTATAAACGTTCCATGTGAGACTGAGTACATGGAACTACTGGAAATAAACCGCTTTATCGACTGCATTATATATGCCAGAGGGAGGCTTACCACATATCGTATGGGATATACCGCCATGCTACGTATGCTGGTGTCAAACAAGGAAACTCTCTGTACTCCTTATGAGTACCAGAACAACGGAATCCAAACAGGGGCATTACCAGAATACCTAAGCCAACACCACTTTAGAAAAGTTCATTTCCCAAATTGGTTGCACTGGCCGTGCTGACAATGCAAACCATTGAACCACCGAGGTCATCTTATTTGGACTATTACATTATTTGCATGTAAAATCTACAAATTGCATGAATACGACCATCCATTCGTATTCCCGTGAGAAGAAATATTCACTTTATTTATTAGATGAGAATTTCTATATTGCATTGCTATTTCCAAAGTTCGCGCTATGCATTCCGGGGCGAACAGCTGATAGCTGCCTTTCAAAGAATTATACCTTGTTGTGGAGAAGCTAAGTGACATTTTGCATTGCCCGTGGCGGCACAAGCTGGCGACGGAAAGCGGCGTCGCGCGACACCGCGCGAAGTCGCCTACGGTCGCCAACCGTCGTCTACCGTTGGCGACTTGTTGTATGTTGTTCGAAGAAATGTGTACTTTATTAATTAGATATGAAATACTGTATTGTATTGTATATATTATATACTATATATCAGGCGCACGACTTTATTTATTTATTTATTTATTTAATCAATATTGCGAGTGGGCTCACAGAGCGTATCCAAAACACTCACAAGCTTAGGCAACATTACAAATTATTGATAAAGAATTGCGATGCAATTAAAATAAAATAAAATTATAGACACAATTTAGCTTGCAAATGTCAAAACCTTAACCTACTTAGTATCTAATTTCCTACACGTAAAAAGTAACTATTTAAAACTATGTTCGCGTTCCTAAGAATTTGTCCAAAGGAATCAGCAAATAAGTCCATGTCATAGTGGTCAGCGAGCATATCTCCGATGAGCGTGAGTGCCCGCGCGGAGGGCGCATGCGCAGCGCGATCGGTGCGCACTGCCGGCCGCTTGTTCGTCCCGTCACTTGATGTTATAAAAAAACGTAAAAGCTAAATAAATAGAGATATTTTGCCGGCGTCCACGCGGCGACCGCGTGAGCGCGATGAAATTCGTATCGAATAAATGCGCCCTTATTGTTGAATTTTGTCAAAGAGTATCTTTACCGTAGTACAGTGGACAGACGGAACAGTCTATAGCTATTTGGATGATCTAGGCAGGCAGATAATATTGAGTGTTTACCAATGATGCGATTCGCTTCTACATTTATAAGGCAAACGGCTGTGGAGTGGAATTCCTTGTCTTCTACTTGTTCCCTGAACGTTGTAACTTGGACGTTTTCAAGGTGAGAATGAATAGGCATTATTTAAATGTGCAAGGTCCATCGTCGACCTCATCATCACTTTCCATCAGATGAGATGGAGGTCAAATGCGCACACTAGTTTTATAAAAAAAATACCTCCACCAGCATTCGAAATTTTCGCCCATAGGCTATCAAATATCAGAAACGTTAATTGTAATATAACAAAAATTACGATTTTTTTTACATTACAAGTGTTAGTCGACCGTATAAGTTAGATTACACCCGCGACGCTACAGGGACGCGGGGGATGACGCGCGGCGAGCGGGCGGCAGGCAAAATTTTGATTTAGCGCAGTTTGCTAGGCATGTAAGCCTACCCCCGCGTCCCTGTAGTGTCGCGGTCGAGGTCTGACTTTTGTGGTCGATATACCATTAAGTAGAAGTGAATTATTTATTCTTTAAAGAACTTCAAATCAATGGAATGGAACGGATGTCACAGTAGTGTATTGAACAGTCGTTTCGGGTAATGTTACACGTCATGTGTAAATTCGCACCCTTGGTGTAATAAGATTACATCTGCAAAATGACAACTATTCAGTGATGCGAGATTTTTTTTTCTTTATGAATGGCTTGTGAGACTACTTAGTCTCAATTCTGTCAGTGTCCGTTTTCTAGTTTCGTAAACGTTATGGAGGGTGTGTTAGAATTTTGTTCGGTGAATGATGCGAGATGAAAAATTCATGTGATAAAATCACTTTTGACATTTTAGAGGGACACGAATTACTGCCAATAAAGAAACTGCCGTGAGGGGAATACTGTCATTCAACTAAATGTGTGGGGTGTTTTCAGGGTTTCATCCATATGCTGCTAGCATCTCGTCACAATGTTCCTTGCCAAGGCATTCGCCACAAAACTATTCCTTGCCAAAATATTCGTCACAAACATCGTTCTTGCCAAAGAATTGGCCACAACAGCCTTTGTTGTCGGGGTTTCCACCAGATTGTTGCTGGCCAGGATTCTGTGAATGCCCCATTTGTAGCTGTTGCCAATGTTACGGACCGTATAAGGTGAGCTCTTCTCATATACAGTATGTGGTAGATCGATTTTCTTTCGTGCTTGTGATTTGAAAAAGGTAATTTTTGATCGTAAGTCTTATGCACATGGCGTATTTTATGCGCGTCGACGACGCAGATGACGTGCATCAACGCGTTTCAATCACGATGCAGTCGCGGCTAGTAAACCTTTGCGCACGTTCACAAATTAAATGGCGCCGTAAACGTGCGTCATCTGCGCGCGTGCGCGCTGTAGTCGCGCGTATGTACCGCTGATTTTGATAGGATATACTTTTAATTTTAGTTTTGTTTGTTAATTTCAGATAGTTTTTGAGATGAAACTACTAAAAAAATATAAAATCACTGTGTACAAAACACTGTGTCTTTTTAAACGTCACCAAATCATTAAGTAACTTACTGTTATAAATTATTGCTATTCGTTTTCGGGTGTATATTTTCAATGCATTGTTGTACTAGACACGAAGTGTGAAAATTATAAAGAATCACAGCAACAGTTGCCTTCAACATGAAATCTTAAGTGTATACTCCAGTTGAGTATATAAGCTTCTCGCATGCAACGCGATGTGCGATACAGACGAGCTTCTCGCGTGCGTCTGTATCGCGTGTTACGCGCGTGTGAATTGATACAAACGCAACAACCTGCTTTTTGAGCCTCTACGGCGCCGTAAATGCGCGTCATCTATGCGTATAAAATACACAGTGTGCATAGACTCTTAAAGCTTTTAAATCTTAGTTTCTGGCTAGCAGAAGTCTTTTTATACATACGCTATTGCCATTGAAGATCAGAACCCCAAGTTTTCTAATTTTAAATCATCTCATTTGTGTGTCAATGGCTTGATTTGGTACGTTCGGTATTCTGCTAAAAGTTAAAGAGTTAGAATTTTAATTTATTTTATAGACACTGTACATCAACAGTAGTACATCTACTCTTAGATAACAGTGTAACTTTACATTAGTATTGTATTTATATGTCTACCTATTACAGACGTACACAACATTTAATGTAATAAAATAATCTTAAAAAAAAAAAAAAAAAAAAACAACAACAAAGAACTTATGCAATTACTGGGGAAACAATTCGAGAATGTTGTTTTTGAAAACATTACAGGAAGAATGAAAAATGTCTATATCTATTCGAACGTTAATTTGGTTATAAGTGCAGGTTAATCTACATAGGTAGTGGACTGTGCAGAACTAGGTTAGTCCGGCATCGCGCTACTTTAAATATTTTGGTTATTTTATGACGGGGGTTTTATAAGGTATGTTAATATTTATTTGGTTCAGAATATTGCAACATTTTATTGTATTATTTAGTTTACCATACAAAAATAGGAGGTCAGATGATATTCGGCGATCTCTAAGCGTATTAATTTTGTTGTACAGGAGGCCTACTATGAGCTTATAAGCAATACATAAATTCATATCACGACATGCATAAAGTTGAACGGGAATGTCGAGGCAAGATGTTGAGTTTACTTTTTAAACATTAATTATTGTCTCTGCCTGGCTAGATGACATCTAACAAGAGCGAGATGGAACTACATACTAAATCTTATAAAAGAAATAGACAGATGTACTACCCTAGGAGCGTTCAAGCACTATTAACTGATTGTGTTCAAAATGATAATAATAATTTTATTATTGTTTATAACGTTATATTGTAATATAGGCAAGTCCATAAAATTATTAAAATTATTAAAATACAACTTAAAAATTATATTCATGCTAATAATTTATGAACAATGCTCTGTAGATGGGAAACTCAAACTAAACTATTCAAAAAAGTTGAAACTATTTATTAAGTAAATAGTATTTATCTATTAGGCTATATAGCTTAAAAAGATAACAAATAATTATTAAACTGCAAATATAATAAAACTTAAACGAAATTTCTTAAAAATGTAACAAAATCTCACAGTTAGTCACGGAGTAACTTTCTTTGAATTGCTTATTTTGACAGATGAGACCGCCATGTGCATGGCAAATGACTCGTCATGAAACGATTCTACTATATAAGAAAAGATGAACGAATTTCAGGTGGGGTCCATAAACTGCATGGACAGTGAATTGTTTTTGTGAGGTCATAGTACGAATTGGACAGGCTATTCAACTTATGGTCTTAAACAGGATTGCTATAAGAGTTCATAGTAGGCGCCCTGTAACCTCTAATGTATGTCTATATGATATAACCTGACGAGAAAAAAGCTAGTTGTCTTGTAAACGCACATTGAATACTTTCAAGCCTTTGAAGGAGTACAGAATTATGATAATATTTGTTATTCTGCTAAAATGTGTGGTTGCAATGACAGTTGACTGTCAATAGAGTCTGTGGAAGGACAATGATGGCATTAATTCGTTCAATCTCTTCCTAGACGTTGCCTTTCTAAAACTACCAAGGAAATTACTATGCATATGTTAATTTTTATCTCGTTTAGTCAGCAGTTCCGTCTTCAAAATAAATTTATTCTTTTATGTCAATTAATTAGTAGACTACACCATTGACGAGCAATTGACTCGCCACTGAAGCGGAATACCAAAAATTGCAATGGCAGTTGTATAGTAGCCGCTACTCCTAACTTTACCAGAATACCAAACATACAAAATCCTGCGATTGACACTATCTACACACATCTGAAATAAATAAATAACACGTACACTCATAGCTCAACACGAGGCAAACCCTGCATCGTGGGTGTCACGTAGACAACCACAAATTGCACCCTAACTCACGAGAGAAATAAATGTAGGCCGTACAAATATTTCTCCCGGTCTGGGAATCGAACTCGGGGCCTCTGCGTGGCTGAATGGCATGGTAACTATTCGGCCACGGATTACAATGAAATGATTTAGAATTAGCAGACTTGACTCGTCATTAGGATTTAATGTGATTACGTTTTGCACAGAAACCGGACTCTTCTCAATGTAGTAACAAATGCAAAAAAACATCATACGTCCTCAGCAATTCTATTCCATATAACCCATGCTGTCCCAATAAACACAAAGGACACAACACATACCAGAAATATAGAAGTATTTTCTTTATGACGTTGCCAATAATTACTATATTTTCACTGTATATTATGGGCTGTGAGACAGCTCATAAGGAAACTTGCCGAGACTACGAATTTATGCGTCGAAGAACTAAACGTTTCCCTTGGGGGGAAGGTAACAAAAGCCTGTACCATAATGATGAAACTAATTTTTTGCCTGAAGAATGTGTATCTCCACCAGATGATGATGAATGCAAAAATTAAACACAACAAATGGATAAATTAAATAGTTAAAGGTAGTCAAAATAACGGAAAATACGCGCTAGTGTGCTTTACGACAAAACGCGCGCCTTTACCACCGGTTATCCACACAACAGTTTAATACAGATTGCAGCATCCTCAGATTACAAAACAATAGCCAGATGGAGCGCGCCGAACATGAAAGTGAAGCCACCAAAGCAAATACAAATTCAAAAGCGAATACAAACTCACATCATTACTAAGCTCAGCGTCCCACTGTTTGCACATCACGAGTGATTAGTTATTTTATGTTTAAAAATGCCGTCTTCTGTCTTTAAACACTGTAAAAGTTGTTCCCAAAAAAAAGACGGAATATCTTTTCACAGGGAACTATTGTTAATTTAATTGTTTTGTAATTTATTTACCCGATATTTTTTGAGATTCACTCGGAACACAAAACCTCGATATAAATTCGTATGTGTTGCCAGTTTATATCGAAATGAGTTTCCTTAAATTAGGTAAATATGCATGGGTGATAGGAGCATCGAATAATTTATACTTTTGTACATAAACTAAATAACGCATGCATACACACACAGAATGGTCCAATTACAGCGATCCAAAATTGTTTTTTAGGTAACTCAGATTTACCTAAACTATTCTCAGACCAATCTCTAATCGCCATAATGTAACTACATAAAATAAGATGTTCAAAACAGTTAAAATTTTAGCTCTATAATACAGAGAACTTTCATTGTTATGTACACGTCATAAACAGAGTGATTTTGTAATAAAACGTGTCAATAAAAAAAAAAAATGATTATATTGTATGTACATGACTTCACAGGGTCTAAAGAGTTTCATAGGGAACCAAACAATTTTATGCATGAGCATAATCGTCGATGCTATGGAATTGATTACAAAGTTAATTTAATAAAAACTGTAATAGAAAAGTATTTGATAGTAAGATTGCGCTACACATCAAAATTAGAAACGAATGCTCGATGTAGAGACGCAAAACGGTAGTATTATAAAAAAATATGTACAAAATGAAGGTTATTAAGATATTGTGTAACTGTGTTTGTAATACATATTTTGAACTATCAAAGATTTCCAATTTAAAATATAATAAAATATTCTTTCATTTGTGTGGTGTAAATCAAATAATAACAATTAAATATTAATTATATTGCATATAATTTGTGTGATATCGTAATACCACAAAATAACATTTCCAGTTTATAAAAGCATTATAGAAAGCAACAGAAAAAATATGGGAGTTTTTTGGCAGCTATTGGCAATCTTGCACGCACGCAAATCCGCATGTCTCTGCAGTGCACACAATAAATGAAAAGTGGCTTCACTTCGTTTGCTGCGTATGCTGCATCTGCCTATTGTTTTGTAATCTGAGACACCATCATAAAAAATAAAAGTTTGAACAATGTAATAAAGCATCCTGAACATACTATTGGTTTTATTGTAATTGTAAAGTTTGAATGAAAGTCAGTTGTAGTAGTCAAGCAAGTCAGTAGTGCAGTGACAAAAAATACACGGTGTTTTTTATATGTAAATATTTGTATAATTATTAGTTAGGCACAATTGTGTACCGTACCGTTTCGGTTTTCGGGTTTCTCGGAAAGTTTAAGGAGATTATTATTATGACTGTGGCATCATAGTAAACATTTACTCAAATATTTTGTGTCTCTGTAAAAATATGCATAATTTAATCAAGAAAGAAGATATTCATAATATTAACCTTGGAACTAAGTCCAAATTAATGGTACCACGATTTCGTTCAGCTAAGTAAACGTTATTCCTTTTTGTCTGTTTGTGTAATAGGAGATCAGAATTTTTATGTCTTTGTGCTCCTATCAGAGCAAAATTCAGTAGGAACAGGACTCTGAAGTGAACGATTCTTTTTTGGGGTTCTGGGAACTGTAGACGTTTTTACAATAAGGTATCGGAACATATATAGGGTTTTTTAACAAGAATTTTGCTTTGTAAATCAAAATAAAACAATAAAAGATGGATTGTATTAAAAAAAACCATCAGCCACACAGCCACCAAAACAATGAATTTGTTGCAAACGAAATTTCCCGATCGCATAATTTCACGAAATTCAGCCATTAAGTGGCCAGCTCGATTATGTGATTTCAAACCGTTGGATTATTTTTATGGGGTTGTGTTAAAGACATAGTCTATACGGAGCCAATCGAATCGATTGCAGTCTTAAATCTCAAAATTCGTGAAGTGATTAACGAAACAGATCCACCATTTTGTCAAAAAGTGATTAAAAACTTTGGTGAAAGAATCGACATCTGTAACTGTGGTCGTGGTGGACATTTATCAGACATATTTTTCATCCATAATTGCCTAAACTTACTTTTTTCAATACAATAAAAATTTGAATCATTGTCATCTAAATGTATTGTTTTATTTTGATTTACAAAACAAAATTGTTGTTGAAAATACCCTTAATTAGAAATATCATAGGTTTAAAACTTACATTATAAGTATTTTAATTGCAAAGTCATATACAAAATTGAAGACGTGTTAGATAAAGATGTATGGAAAGACTACATGGCTCGAAATTCCATAGATTCAAAGTGTATTCCTCCGTGGCCGAACGGTTACCATGCCGGACTGCCACGCAGAGGTCCCAGGTTCGATTCCCGGGCCGGGAGAAATAGTTGTATGGCCTACAATTATTTCTCTCGTGAGTTTGGGTGTAATTTGTGGTTGTCTATATGTGTGTCCATGGCACCCGCGACACAGGGTTTCCCTAGTGCGGGGCTATGTTGAGCGTGTGCGTTATTTATTAATGAATAATGAATAATGAATAATTCCATAGCATTTGAAATTTATTTGAAAACAGCAACCCGTAGAGTCTCTTGATCGTTCTTCTCAGGGAAGTCAGCACAGTGAATGAGCCATAGACTTAGTAATGAAATGAGCAGCAGCTTAAAAAAAGACATTTTCATGTGTAAATTTGTTTTACCTTCTGGTTAATCTTCATAAATTTAGTAATATGTCTTCATATCAGTAGAAATAGTATTAATATTTATTTTCCAGACAACGTGTATGATTTTTATTATTGCTACAGATATTAATTAAATTTATATATTTTTTTAACCGGAAAGAAAATTGAATGAAACAATTTTTTCGGATCTTGAAGTATAATCGCATATCTTCGGGGATAGTGCAAATGCGCGTATAGCGTTGGTAAAAGTCGCGTATCTGCACCAAATCAAATTTTACTTTGTTATTTCAATGACTACGACATTCGTTTTTGCACAGTAAGCATTAATTTAAGTTGTCTACGGACTAATAACAATAGATTCTCGTATATCACACTATTTTGGTTGCTACGCACTTACGCGGATTTGAATTGGCCACTAAATTACCGAAATGGAAACTCATAATCCAATGCTAGTTACGCGTAATTTGCACTACCTATCCCCGATATTAGTTTTTTCAAAGAAAACTATGTTCCGGCGTAGATTTCCTAGTACGTATATATAGATGTAGTTGCGTTCCCGGTTTTGTCCTTGCATGACATTTGACCTCAATCTCATCTCAAATTCTGAACCAACAAGCAGCACCACAAAGATTTTGTACATTTGTTTGGTTAGGTAGTCATTTTGATTTATCTAGATTCTATTAAAGGTTTTTTCATGTATTGTTTTTTCTATTGGAGCTGACAGTTTCAATATTGACCAAAGTCACTAAATAAATAAAGATAAAACAGGTCTCAGGGTCACGGCAATCTCATTTTAGATCCCAAAAAATAGTTTCAGACCAGCAATCGCGAAAACTTCAAAGACGATATCACTTTATGACATCAGTACTTTAAGCATGTTGTAGTTTGAAAGATTTGATAGGTTCAATCAAATGACGTGGTAGGAGGTGTAAATGCAATCAATCAATTCAATGTTCTACCAAACCCCTACAGACAAACAGTCAATGTTAAAGCGACATCCCTAGTCAGCAGGTCGTAGCTGTAAATGTACCTGGCTGATTAAAGAAATAGATTTTTCACAGAGGGCGCTACGGCGACAATCGTTAAAAACCAAAACCAAGATCTACTTAATTTGACAACGTAAAACTCGACTGCCATATTTTTATTTGACATGATTATGTGAAACAAACATTTATACGGATTTTTTTTTTCACACGCACGCACTCAACAATGTCCCGCACTAGGGAAACACTGTGTCGCGGGTGCCATGGACACACACATAGACAACCACAAATTACACCCAACTCACGAGAGAAATAAATGTAGGCCATACAAAGTATTTCTCCCGACGCGGGAATCTAACATGGGACCTCTGCATGGCAGTCCGGCATGATAACTGTTCGGTCACTGAGGCAATTATTTAAAAGTATATTAGCTATGTCGAACTTGACTAGTGTATAAGAATGGTTTTAAACTCAGGGATCCACACGGCCGTCCCAATATAATTCTGCTAGTTATGTCGAACTTGACTAGTGTATAAAAATGGTTTTAAACTTAGGGATCCACACGGCCGTCCCAATATAATTCTGCAGGTCAATTCAGAACCTTACGATAACTCTGTCGTCGACCGTTTCGATTTAATATCGTACGATTTCTTTTAATTTTTATTCGTAATAACCGAATCGAACGCCAAACTGTCGTATTCGAAACCGAACCGAAATGACGTCACACCCGTACTCGTGCATCTCGACAGACAAAGGGTAGAAACGTTATTAAGGATACAGTTATCGAATGAAAGTTACCGAACGAAATCTTTTACTATTTAAAAAAAAACCGGAATTTAATCTTTTACTATTTTAAAAAAAAACCTGAATTTTGTTCAGTTTTATTAATTTATTTTAATGCGAGACTAATGCATTCCTATATTTTAGGCCTTTAAAGTCTTAAAAAAAATAGGATTTATTTTTTCTTATAATCTATATTCGCCGACTAACTCCGTAAACGTTGTTGGATAACGATATCGTATTCGTATCCGAATCGAACGTTTTAACTCGGAATGTCCTGAATATCTCGGAAAGCGCTCTTCGATTCGAGAACGATATCCAATGGAACGATTCAGTTAAGATATCGAAGAGTTCTTAATCGGGGTCCTGGTCGGAAAGCTGAAAGGCGTCCGTGACGACATACATCGAAACTGACCCGCCTAAGGAGATAAGTAAGGTCTCGTGGTTCGTTCCGTAGCTCAGTTGGGAGAGTGCACGCACGGTATGCTTGAAGGCGTTGATTCAAATCCAGCCGGATCGAAGAAATTTTTCTTAGTATTTGAACTTTGATAATAATAACAAACCGCCAGTGTGTTTAATTTTCAAGAGGAGTTTCTATAGGCTGCGTGACATATTCCATACGCACATTTTGCAAGATATTGATAAAACCATTTAAAAAAATCTTAGGAGCAGCATTTTTCTTCCAATATTTTAAGGTTGGTTAGATAAAATATTTTTTGCGGAATGATTTCTGTCACATCGTTCAGTCAGTCAACACAAAGAAATGGGTGAAAATTAAAAAAAAAATTGACATTCTCGTGGACATAATGGATAGTATTTAAAAATTTCAATAACATTGCCGCGATTAGGCAAGCAGTGTTTTACAAACACTTAAAATATTTCAAAAAAAATGTCTTTAACAACCTCTTGCTGAACGAAATAACCTTGTTAGGTTGGAGCGGTGAAATAAAATGTAATGGAAACGGTGGACTTGCAAAATCCGAACCTGAAACTTGAAACACACATACAATTGAAAACAAATAAAAATATGGTTTCTTTTAATATGATAAGCTGTTAATAGCCCCAAAAATAGTATGCTACGTACAGTTAATAATATAAGATCTTCATTGCGAAGTGGGTTGAGTAACCTAATATTGAGCGCTAATCGAAGTATCACGACTAAAAACTGTATTCCTTTGTCTACATATAACTGTCTACCACCGTGCCCCTGTCATTCCCATAAGACCGCATCATCTTATGCCTCGCAACCTAAGTGTTCTGAACATCTGGCGAAAAAGGAAACGAGAGTATATTTTCCCGCATGCCCGTTCTGCCGTTGTCCGCAGCAACATCTCTGCGGTAAGTATAATTTTTTTTGAAGTTCTTGAGTTCACTCTCGTGCACCGTCAGAACTTCTTTTGGAAGGTTCTCAATTCGACTGTCTTTTTTGAACCGACTTTGGTGGTTTTTTTTTGTTGGAAGGAGGGTAGAGGTATTTGGTCCCATTTCAAGTTGAAGAAATATTCCACCCGTAAGGGTGGCAAACTAGGGGATAATAATAACGCACACACTCAACATAGTCCCGCACTAGGGAAACCCTGTGTCACGGCTGCCATGGACACACACATCGACAACCGCAAATTACACCCAAACTCATGAGAGAAATAAATGTAGGCCATGCAAATATTTCAATCGAACCTGGGACCTCTGCGTGGCAGTCCGACATGGAACCGTTCGGCCACGGATAATAATGAATGAATAAAGATGAATCCGGTTTCCTAAACCTATTTATATCTCCTCTCAGGCGAGGGTTTAGGCCATAGTCCGCCACATTGGCCCATTGCAGGTTGGTGACTTCACACGTTTTCCGAGGATTGTGAACCTCTTCGACGTGGAAGTTTCATGACGTTGTCTTCCTTCACTGAAAAGCTACATGGTAAAATTACTAGGGAAACCCTGTGTTGCAGGTGCCATAGACACACGCACACAGACAATTCCGATAGGATGAACGAGTCGTTCGCCTGATGATAAGCGATACGCGAGCGAAGTTTTGAAAGGTAAGGGTGCTGGTGAAATTACAGGCACATAGGAATTGTCAACTTATGCTTCAGGGTGAAGGGAAGTGGCTCATGGCACTGCAACTGTTATGGACAGATGTGTAGCTTACCATCAGGCGAACGACTTGTTTATCCCGTCACTTGATATTATAAAAAAAACTACTGACAATAATTAAAAAGTTTTGATAATTTTTAGGGGATATTTCGTCTGTTTGAATATATACTGAATGTGTTAACTTAACATGTATGGTATTTCCAGAGGTCCCTTCGCCGTTTTGCCACTTTAACACTTGCCCTGTATGTGGTAGTACCGCAGCTAACCCAAAAAACAACAAAACTGTGAGTATACCTTTTCTCTGTGTTCGCCATATGACGGTGGTTTATTTCCTTCGGTGTTTGTCCAAAGAATCTTGCTCAAATACAATGTTTTTACAAATAATAATAATAACGCACACACTCAACATAGCCCCGCACTAGGAAGAACCTGTGTCACAGGTGCCGTGGACACACACATAGACAACTACAAATTACACCCAGACTCACGAGAGAAATAACTGTAGGCCATGCAAATATTTTTCCCGGCCCGGGAACCGAACCTGTGTGGGACCTCGTGGCAGTCTGGCATGGAAACGGTTCGGCCACTGAGGCAGTTTCTGAATTATTATTGAATTCGAATTGAGACGCAGACTTCTTGCACGACGTGTATATTACACAAAAAGGTACTTTATGCGGGTAAGGATCCAACAGTGTATGTGACTGACGTGATAGCAGAAGGTTAAGTGTAGAATCTAAGATAGGCTATTTTAGTTTCAGCACTAAACCTTCTTAAGATAGCAGTGATGCTCAGGCCACACAGAGTTGGCCACACACACACGTTCCGGGTACGGGAATTTTTGTAATGTACAAGTTCATTTGAACCCTGCCACTCTGAAGCGCGCGGCAAAGAAGACCTGTAACGGTACAAAAAATCCCGCGCCCGGAACGTTTCCGCGGCCGCCTCTGTGGCCAAAACATAAGTAAGGATCAAAACGTCAATACGTTATAGTGCCTTTCAAATGCTATTGCAGTAGAAAGCATTCATTCATTGACAATGCAAAACATATTTCAAAATCCTACAGGACCCACTTACCAAGCAGTGGGTTCAACAGCTCTAAACGAATATATGAGTTAACTTAGAAGACTTAGTTTCATGGTACAACTAGTGCCATCTACTGGTGGCGCGATGGAATTAATGGCGTGTGAAAGTTATGGTTGCTACAGGCTGGTTTAAGCTATCAAGCGTCCTAGACACGCGATGTCCAGTAGCGTTCTAGAACCACATGATGTCTGTAATGTGCAGCTATGCTGTTCACCCACGACGTAAAAAAAAACAAAGCAAAAGTATAAAAATATATAAATAATTATACAAATCTATAAATACTTATCATAATTATTGATTATAAATAATTGGAACAGAACGTTTTCATTGTCTAAAAGTAGTTACACACAGCGACTTATAGCAGCGATGCTATATAGTCGTCGTTAGGTTAGTATATAAGAAAGCATATTTCTGCACTGATGTAATGTCGCGGAAGGAGTTGGCGGAACGGTAGCGAGAGGAAGATTCGTCCTCTCATCCTATGCTCCGCAAACGCTTGGGGCGCAGACGGCTGGCTTATGTCCGCTAACTGCCGCCCTGAAAGTGAACCCAGGGAGTCAAAAACGGGGGCTTTTGTCGCCCATTAGTTAAGGGTTCACGGGTTGGTTGGTGTGCCAAGTATTCCCGGCATGCCACTAACGATGGTGATCCCCCAGGGGTGAGGCCGCGCTGGCGGACAACCGCAGACGGAACCGTGGATCGTAAGCCACGTGGCCACAGCCCCGTTTCACGCGGGGTGTGGGAATACCCGGGGATTTTTAGTGAATAAGAGTCTCACATTACCCCCGCGTCTCCCTGTGAGGCGTTAGTATCCATGACGGATTTTCCCCCGAAAAAAATAAGTACATATATGAAAAAGCAACACGAGCCGAGCGAGTAAAACGAATTTGCCGCGGCAGCGGCCGGTGATTGCCAGTAGACAATTTTCTTGCGTTTCCGAACATATTCTCAGGTCAAATTATATTATAATTATTATAATATTAGTATACAAATATAATCAACATTTACTTAGTTTTAAAAATAAGTACTAAATTTTGTTTTTAACGCTCATTTGTCTTAGTTTTAGAGGCCCAACATAAAACTATCAAAGTTAATTTATACAAATCAAACATTTCTTGCGTACCTCAGAACAGATTAAAATAACCATGGCTTTAATTAAAATCATTAAAAATTATGACCGTTTAGATATTTTGCCTGCTGCTTTTGTAAATTTAATATGATCATTTAAATTCATGCCATTTAAATGTCCCTACTTGTTTTTGGCGCTGTTGATTCTATTCTGATAACTGTGCGTTGTTTCTTAAATAAACTCCGAGTACATTTTCTTTGGTCTTGCTCGCTTCTCGATAGTACCCACCCGAAGCCCATTAATACAGTTCGCTACAGTTGGTTTGTTTGAAAAAACTAATTATGCTATTAAATACGAATTTTTTTTTTATTTCCTGTATATTTTTAGTAGCAATAGAGCTCCTTGTAAAAGAGTTTGTCCAGGGTAGTACTGCCACCTTACCTATTTCTGTCGCCAAGCAGTAATGTCAGCATTGCTGTGTTCCCATTTTGAAGGGTAAGGGTGCTGTTGAAATTACAGGCACATAGAACTTGTCAACTTGTGTCTCATGGCGGCGGATGCAGTGGCAGTGCCCCTTGGGTCTTAGCGATTTAAAGCTCTGAGTGGCACTGCAACTGTTCTGGACAGGCGGTTAGCTTACCATCAGGCGCACGACTTGTTCGTCCCGTCACTTGATATTATAAAAAATAATGTAACAATCGCGAAAACCTAAGAACTTGATATAAATAAATACCTTTTTTTCAGTTCAATTCTTTATTGCATTTACAATGGCTTAAAGCTAAGGTAACAGCATTGTGGACCCTGTAGGGTACTGCAAATTATATATAATTCTGCCCTCTCTCCGCTTCCCGTGTAGGGAAACTTTAGAAAAAAACCAATAAGTGTTTGTTTGAAAATATTCTTATACGAAGTTTCGGGATAATAGACTTAAAGAATACGATTTTCCTTAGATAAAATTTAGCACTCAGTTCTTTTCCCTCGTTTACGGGTACTTTTCGAAGAGAGAAAAAAAGTATTTCTTTTTATTGCTTTGAAGAGTATTTGTACCAAGTTTTGGGTTTGGGATTCGGGGAATATAATTTCGTCATATAAACTTCAACACACCATTTCATAAAATGTTGGGGAACATTTCGCAGAATCGAAAAAGTACGTTTCATTATTTACGATGAGAAAACTTAAGTTAACTGGCTTTGTGCAGTACAACTATTTCAATTTCAATATTTCTCGGCAAACTTCGGATTTCCGATTTCGCTCGAATGCAAATATTCTATATAAACAGGATTATTTGTAAAATACTAACAACCTCGCAGGACTTACATTACTAACATCATAAACAACAATCTTTGTTCCATGACTTTACAAAAGATATTATATTTACCTAAAATAAACCCTAAACTTTTGCTGTACTATTTCACACTTTTTAGATCTATATTTGGTTAATTTTCTACCTGTTGTTATTTATTTTTCTGTTGTTAGTCACTGTATCTGTTGGGTAATTTTCCGGAATATTTCAAACAGTGAAAATTTTTCCAGAAAAAATCACGAAAAATTGGAAAAATATAATTTCGAAGGCTCATATTATGTTCTACGTTTAGAAATATCTTTTAAAGTTTCATTTAGCGTGAATTATAAAATAAATTTATGTAGCTAAAAGCGACTTAGAGAAAAACGAGATTTGAAATGATTGCGCAATCTAATTGGCTCCATCGTTTTCGTTCAGTAAATTAAACTTTTGACAGGTGTCAAAGTCAAATGTGGAAAATTAACGGAAAAATAATTATTTTCCTGAAAAATATGATTTTTTCAAAATGGAAATTTTTCCACGGCCCACCACAACTTGGTAGTAAGTATGTTCAAACATGCAAGCATCTTCTCCAACGATCCTTACCCTCACTGTGTTTTGCATCGATCTGGTTGATTTTTTTTATGATACCAAGTGACGGGACGAACAAGTCGTGCACCTGGTGGTGAGCGACACGCCTGTCCATAAAAATGTGGCAGTGTCACTTGGAGCTTTAAATCGCAAAGATTTAAGGGGTACTACCACTGCGCCCGCCAACCGGAGACAATGGGACTTGTCAACTTATGTCTCTAGGTGACGGGCGCAGTAACAATGCTCCACGGATCTTTGTGGTACTGCAACTGTTATGGACAGGCGTGACGCTTATTAACTGGTGCATGACTTGTTCGTCCCGTCATTTGGTATTTTATTTTCTATTTTTATTGTAATGGTACAAATTAAAATACAATTTTGAAAATTGTTTCAAAGGAAAAACATCAGTAAATCTGTATTCCAATGACAACTGTACATAAAATGCAGAAACAAGAAAACTTCATGAAAATATAAATTGTGTGATTATGTAAAATAAGAAAGAAAACAAAAAACAAACAAAAATTACATACTTACTTACTTCGTGGGCTCAGCGACCCGAAGTGGATCTTGGCCTTCGACACCAAAGTACGTGTCGGTCTTGTGCCAATTCCGACCATTCGGACACATTCAGTTCCTTTAGGTCTTTGGCGACTTCATCCTCCAGCGACATCTTGAACGGCCCACTGAACGCTGACCAGTAGGTTGCTCCAAATACGCTCTTTGTAACAAAAACTAAAACTTACCTATATAAAAAAATTACCTATTTTAAATATAAGACTAAAATATATAGAAGTATCCATATCCATCTTAAATACTAAGTTTTAAGACAGATTTTTGAATATATGAATCCTATCAATCTTAAAACAAAACCAGGAGGTCTACTCTCTTTCTTGAAAACGAAATTTAACGAAATTTAAACGAAATTTCGTACTCTAATTCTTTTTCGGTCGGGCTCAAGAATTTCGTTGTCTGAATGAATGATATTGTATAGGTCTTTTTTGATGTCAACTACCGTAAATGATGGTTTTTACTTTAATTTAAAATTAATACAATTGTTTTGCTTTGTTTCTAAATTTTACATTGAATGTGTGATTTATTAAGCGTTTCTTGTACTATTTATTCGTGCAGAAAATATAAAGAAACAAATAAAATCATATTTTTGACGTAACTAACCGGAACGCTAATACTCATTGTTATCCGATTTGTTTGAAGACTACCATTTCAAGCAAACTATAGGTGACAAAAGTATGACTACAAAAATTTCCGTATATTAGAGGCTATTGTACTTATTGTATTCTTTGTAAACTTGTCGTACATAATATTTACATTATAAATATCAAAATGAAGGAATTTGAAGCTTTTGGCAAGATTTTTCGTAAACATTATCTCCTTAAAAAAGCAAAGATATAATGCAGTAAATTGATTTTATTTAATCAACTCGCACAATCTTTATTTCCTTGGTTAGAACTTTATTTTGCACTACACAGCTTTTGATCTTCAGCCGGCGTGTAGAGCTTACGCTGAAGAAGCAGCTAATTCGGAGATAACCCTCTGCCAACTCGAGAACAACAATCGTGAGCTCGTTTCCATGACGTCTTTCTTTTCAAAGTGATAAGGGCACTATTTCTTGAGACTACTCTTCAAATAGAAATGAGCAATATGATGTGCAATAGTAAATTGCCGATTAAATTTGTAATTTCCTACAAACTTTTAAGTCGGGAATTTTACTTATACGTAGTTCGTGGCACTGGTGGCGACGACGGTTCTTTCTACACTCTGAACGTTCTTCACGCAGAGCCTCGATCAACAAAAGTATTGTTGCAGTCATTTCAATCAAATTTTTAACATAATTCGCATTTAAGAAAATCAAATGATCGCACTTTTGGTTTCATGAATTTGACATTATAATTCAGAAGATTTATCTGCCAAAATCAAATTCTCGTTGCGACGTTTTATGAATTAGAGTAAAGTAATGAAAAACGATACTTCAAACAAGTTTCGTTCGAACGAAATTTCGCAATGAAATAGAATTGTGGTAAGAAACGTGCGAAACTTCGATGGAAATTTCGTTTTTCGTAGAAAGAGAATAGACCTTCTGTTTATTAAAGGACCTACAAATTTTTTTTTTTACAGAGTAAGTGTGGTCGTCGCATATGCCCTCCTCCATGCAGCCTCCCCGGTCCTATTCCATACAATCCATGCTGCCCCACTCCGCCGCCCCATAAAGGAGGCTACAAGAAATACAGAAACATTTTTATCGTAATGCTTCCAATAATTTTTTTACTATCACTCTACGCTTTGGGAAACGAGCCGCCACACAAAAAAACCTGCCGTGAGTATCCCTATATGCGACGAAGAACTAAACGTTTTCCATGGGGAGACGGCAACAAAACCTTTTTCCATAATGATCATACAAATTCTTTACCCGAGGAATGTGAGCCTCCACCATTGGTCTGCGAACCAGCTGTAGTACCAGATAAACGTTGTTAACATCCCGAACAAAAACACAGGATTATCGAAACATAGTTGACCAATATAATGGAGATTTTGGAAAAAACCAATAAGATACTTCGAGTAATATTAAATAGCAGAGAGCAGAGTTCATTTTTTTAGTGTTTACTCCACAAATTCTAGTGGAAACCGTTTTCACGAATGCCCACTACTTCGCTTTTCCTATCACATTATACGTAAATTAATTTGTTTTCTTTACATAGTTTATCGAGTTGAAATTGTCAGTTTTCGACTCTCTTTAAATGTTAGTAAAGTAGGATTCAGTATAGAATGAGAATGGATTTGTAATCGAAGGGGTATTTATATGGGTGTCACGTCACTTACCCTGTAGGGATTTTAAGAAAAAGAGCCTTAGGGAAAAGAGAATGGCATTTTGTATACCGACAAGAGCAAATTTCATATTGAATAACGTGTCTGGTGTCGTTTTTGAAATATTTCTTTTTTACTTTTGCTCTACCATACTCAAATACGTAGCGCTCACTAAATTTCAAAAACTGACTAATTGTCGCACAAAAAAGCACACGGCGAATATTTATATGTTATTGAGGCGCCATCTGTTGATACAGTATTAAACGACGTAGTTGCAAAATTTCACTATTACATTTGTGCTTTGTTTTATTTAAGTTGTATTTTACTTCTTCAAGGATTAAAACATTTTCATGAATAAATAAATGCATTGTGTTTAATAATTATAATAATCTTCAGCGTGTAATTAAGAACGTTAAAAGAAAAGTTCTTGTCGGTGTGAATCGTTGTGTGGTTTCTCTAGAAAGCTTCTTATATAAGCTTTTTTACACGACGTCAGTCGTGACAACCATAATAATACTGTTCCAAATACATTATGATAATGTTGGCGCAGAAGATCGATCCAAGTGCTGTCGACATTATAATGAGTCTGTCACATATAAAGTTTATTTATACAAGGTTATTTTTCGCATATGCCAGCTATGTAGCATTTGCTACAAAACCCTTTTTGCTACGTAAACCATAACACTAAACGTTTATCAGTGTAGACAAGTAAAAGACATAATAAGAAAATAAACCTGTTTAACTGACATTTCACGCCACTCGTAGAAGAAAGGTATAATTCTATATTGTTACTTTTCAAGACGGTCAAAAAATATTATTAATCGTAATGTTTTTTTTTGCAAGTCGTATTTCTATATAGCCTACTCTGAAACGTAAGTAAAAATATTATCTATGTGCCTAATTTATAACAAAATTAAACTTCAGTAAATTACACAAAACTCTAAGAAGCGTCGTACGCTTGTATTTCACGAATGAAATATCTCTATTGCTCAAGAATTTAGGATTTTATATGCGTTGTAATGTTACTTCAGTTTTTAATTGATATTTACGAATTTGTTTCTCAAGAAAGAAGCATTTGACTAAACTTTTCCAACATTATATCACTTTCATAATTTTGCTGTAAAAAATAAATGGATATATTCGATTATCATTTATTATGGTTTGATTTCATAATATATTTCAAGACAATATTGAAATTACTGGTTATAACTTTTATGGAATATGAAAATTGGAATAATGAAACATTTAAAAAAATTACATAATTGTGTTAGGTTTTTTGACGTGACTTCGTTATCTATCCAATGGGATGAAAAAATGAGTTTATTCGACTCATGCCATTCTTCCTCGAGGGGTGCGGTTTATTTATAGAAATTTAATATTGATCTTATTTACTATTATATAAGCCCAAGGACAATAATTATTGACATTGCAATTATTACATATTCCTCTTAGGTTTATTAGAAAAATTTGCAGGCACGCATTTCTTTACAGCACCGACAAACATCTAAAACAACATTTGTTTTTTTAAGTAAAATAGTATATTTTTTACAAAATCGTAATAAAGCACTTTGAACGTATATTGTTGTTTTATTTTTAATAATCCCATTGAATATTTTATTATATTAAAATTGAGATATTTTAACACATTTGCTAGAGCGTCGTGCGTTTGCCGATGATGCGCGGTGGCAGATAATTTTCTTATACATAAATGCAAACGTTTATGAACGTTTATTCTACAGGTTATTAAATGAATGTAAGAAATAATAATTCCGACGTGAATAAAACGTTAACGTCTATGAATTGAACGCGGACGTTACGCATGGATGCCAGCGTTCATTTAGTATGTGTGAGTAGTGCTTACTTATCCTGTGAAATGTCGATACTGCGTGTAGCTAGAGATTCAGTATTTTGGTATGTTGTAGAACAATGACGTCATTATTAAGATATTGTATGGCCAAGCGCTCTATCACTATCTTCGATCAAATAAAAGGGGATAAACGACGTGATAGTACGTTGCTCTACATCACAAGTGTTTGTAATAATAATAATAATAATATAGTCTAGTATAATCTCGACAAACAAGTTCAAATAAGTGCTTTATTTTAACTTAAACTTTATTTTATTTTAAAATAATTTAGTAAGTTTGTGATGTGTGTGTCTGTGTGTGTGTGCGTGTGTGCGTATGTTGTGAGTGTGTGTGTGTGTGTGTTGTGTGTGTGCGTGCGCGCATGCGTGTGTGTGGTGTAGTAACACCAGGCACTTGATTTGTTTGTCCCGTCACATGATATAAAAAAAATAAAAAATAGTATGTAGCTCGCGTGCATGTATATATACCCTGGACTCCGTGAGCCGGGATTACCCTGGACACCGCTCGTGCGCTTCTTTCTTCTTTCTTGCAGTCTTCCTTAATTTTTCTTTTTTTTTTCATTTTAATCTTCTATAATTTATCTACTATAATATTTCTTCTATGATTTTTCTTCTTTAATTCTTCTATAGCTTTTCTTCTACAATATAATCTTCTATATAATTTTTCTTCTATATTTTTTCTTCTTGATCTTCTATAATTTGTATTTCTTTTTTCTGTCTTGATATTCATTCTTCTGTCTTGGAATCTTCATTGTTATGTTGTCCGACCAAAGCAAGTTACATAAATAAATTACGGCTATATCGAAAAACAGCGGAAACAAAATTTTTACTTCAAATTATGATGCCATGTCATTTTCAGTCGGATTAGAAGAAATTTGTATCTATTGCCAAAAAAGTTTGTATGATAGCCATATTGAAAAATGGTGAAAAATAAATTTTAACCGCTAAATATCATTAAATACATATCCATTTTCAATCGAATTAGTGCAAATTTTTATCAGCCGCTAAAAGAGTTTGTATGGCGGCCATATTTAAAAATGGCGAAAAACCAATTTTGATCACAAATTATTATCAAGCACTCCTAGAAACCCCCTTATGCCAATTTTCAAAGGGATCTGAGCAATTCTTTTTTCTGCCGCCAACGAACGCTTCTAAGTAGGCCATGTTTGAAAATAGCGAAAAACAAATTTTGAGCACAAATTACTATCCGGCATTTCTAGTGGCCTACATATGCCAATTTTCAGTCGTATCAGAGCAAATCTCCTTCGGCACCTATTTTTAACGAAAAAAACGCTTATATGGCAGCCATATTAAAAAATGGCAAAAAGAAATTTTTGACCCCAAATTATGATTAAGGACTCCTAAATTCCCTCGCATGCCAATTTCCAGCCGGATCAAAGCAAGTTTTTCTTCGGCCGCCATTTTGAAATCGCCATCTTGAATTTTTTTTAACCCAGGCAGTTGACCAGTGTTATCCTCTACATTTCTTCGAGCACTTCCTACCTAACCAGGGCAGGACAAAAGATGTGCCATTGTGTGGGGAGAGACACCAACACATTGGGTTTCGTCGACTCCTGAGTATCTGGCCCAAAAACTCAACTGGAGTGATCATTTACACAGTGGTAATGTCCGATATATGCGGTACCCGCATCTTCAGTTATTGACTCTCCCTCGCTTAACTTTGTACTGCGGCAGCTTTCGTTTCGCAGCGAGTAAGTGCTGGAATGACCTTCCATTTCTAGTAAAAAACGCTAAAACGTTGTTTATTTTTAAAAACCGATGTAAGCAATGGCCCCTACGTGGGGCGCACTATAAGTTTCCGGAATTAATAAGAAAAAAAATTATAAATGGTCAGAAATGAATTTATTGTTTCTCAAAATATTTTCCGTTAGCGTTAATGCACTTTTCCATACGAATGAACCAATTTTGAAAACATGTATGCCACTCCTTCGTGACAATCTCTGAAACATATTTTTCATACTCTTCGACAGTCTCTTCAGGTGATGAAAATCGTTGATTGCGTAACTGGTTTTTAATTTTTGGAAATAAATGAAAGTCACAAGGTGACAGGTCGGGACTGTATGCGGGATAGCTCATAAGGTCAACGTTGTTCACCTTAAAAAAATAATTTGTCTGTCTGGCCGTGTGAGAACTGGCATTATCGTGGTGCAAGATGATATGGCGTTTACGGTTATTTTTACGGAGTTTGTCAATAACTTCCGTCAAACAGATGGTCGTGTACCAATCACTATTCACGGTACAACGATTCTCCAAAGCAACAATAGCCACGTGTCCAGTTTTATTAAAAATAGAAGCAATCATCCGCTTAGAGGCACTTTGCACGCGCGCCACTTTGGTTGGTTTCGGCTTATCTCAAAAAACCCATATACTCGATTGGTGATTTGCTTTGGGATCGTAATTATAAATCCATGTTTCGTCACCTGTTACTATATCTCACACCAAATTTAACACCCCTTCGTTAAATCTGGTAAGCATGGCATTGCACCAAGTGACGTGATCCGTTTTTTGAGCCTCAGCCTTATTGTGTGGGATCCACCGAGAGCACAGCCTTTTCACACCCAAATGTTTGTGTAATATTGATTGTATTTGACTCATGCCTATGCTTAAAATGCCCGATTCTCATGGTATGTCACATCCCTGTCTGTTTTGATCATACGGCACACAGCATCGGTGTTTTTGTTGCTCACAGCAGTGGACGGGCGATCATCACAAAATTCGTCACTGAGATTCACACAACCGCGTTTGAATACTGCAAACCTGCTATAAATAGTTGTCTTGCATGGTGCTTCATCGCCAAAAGCTGTTTAAAGCCGAGCAAAGCTGTTGCTGTTGTGGACATCGGCAGTGTGTACACTATGAGAATTCTTTCTCTACGTGGTGCGATATTTCCGCCGGAGTCCCGCAGGGTGGCGTCCTTTCTCCTCTCTTATTTTCTTTGTTTATTAACTCTATCACACAATCCCTCACTTCTTCTTATCATCTTTATGCTGATGACCTCCAGATTTACACCCAGTCGTCTATTCAAGACTTACCACGCGCTATTAATACAACCAATGTGGACCTTGAATCCATTCGTCCATGGAGTCAATCCTTTGGCCTTAAAGTTAACCCATCCAAAACACAATCGATTATTATAGGTAGCACTTGGTTCTATTCTCGTTTAAGTCTAGACTCCTTACCCCCTGTGGTTTTCGATGGTGTTTGCATTCCTTATTTGGATACAGTCAGGAATTTGGGGGTAATTTTTGATAAATGTCTGACTTGGAAGCCGCACGTTGCTAAGGTTAGCAGGAAGGTGTTTGGTGCGCACTTCTCTCTGAGAAGGCTTAAAAACTTTTTGCCGACTAAAACCAAAATTACTCTGGCCCAGAGCATTCTCCACCCGATACTGGACTATGCAGATGTTTGCTATCCAGATTTGTCAGTAACTCTGCTCAATAAATTGGAACGGCTCCAAAATATGTGTGTTAGGTTCATCTTCGGACTACGTAAATTTGACCATGTCTCCCAATTTCGCACACAAATTAAATGGCTGCCCATTCATCGGCGTAGAGATCTTCATATCCTTTCACTTCTCTATTCAATTCTGTTCTATCCCTTTACGCCTTCTTATCTTAAAGATCGCTTTACTTTCCACTCTTCTACACTCTGTCGTCCCCTTCGCTCCTCTGACACTCTCTTACTTAACTTGCCCTCTCATACCTCTAACTTTTATTCCAACTCTTTTACCATTTCTGCGATCAGATTGTGGAATTCTCTCCCTGAATCGATTCGACGATCCCCTTCTCTTGATTCCTTCAAACAACGTGTCAAGGATCACTTCCTCAATTCCTAAATTTCGTCTGTCCTCTACTATCCTTTCATTTATTTCCTACATTTATACTTGATTTTTCTTTTTCCTTTAAAAGTAAATAAGCATTTAATATTATTGTGTATTTATTGTTATGTATGTATTAATAATATTATTGTTATTTGTATGTATATGTATATCTATATATGGATATGTATATATTTTTATTATTACTTATTATGTAGTGTACTGATGATATTCTTTGGTTGGACCCCTTTTGCATATCCGAATTGTCTATCCTAAGGTTGCCTGGAAGAAATTGCTACATAGCAATAAGGCCGCCTGTTGCACATTGACTTACTACTTCTATTATACTTAAGCTACTGTATTGTATTTTAATTGTAATTTTATGTGCAATAAAGAATATTTCA